CTCAGCAAAATATTCTAAAAGAGTCCAGTAGTCCATAATAGTATTGGGTCTTCTGCTTCACTGGTAAGGTCAGAAATAGTTGACCTGAGTCCCCTACAGCTCAACATAACAGCATGGCTTTACTTCTTATACTTTGTTTTTATACTTTTCTGCTGGATGGTTAAGACCAAGATAAAGCAAGACCTATGCAACAAGAGTTGTAGCTTTTGGGTCTGATTAAGTCAGTGAAATCCCCTCAGATTTATCCTGAGATCCTGTACCTCAGATTGTAGATACTTTGTCAGTGTCAGCCATATGAATGAGTCACATTGCTTGGCCAATGTGCTGTTTGTGAAAGCCTGAGAGAATGTTTTCTGTCCATGTGACTCTCCTTAGGCACACTCTACATCATCGATCACTTTCCTCTTTGGCCCCATAATCTCCTTGATAAGAAAATTTGGGATACTGCAGAGTTACATAACATTACAGTACAAGTTCTCATATGTCCTGAGTCTTAATTGACCTTGGAAGGCTAGGGCCAAAATGTTGGCTTTCCTTTTTCTCTAATTCTGGTCTGCAAACTTAGATTGTTAACCCTCCAGAAGAGAAGCTTATTGTTATTACCATATAACCTAGGCTGTTAAGCTTGCCCTCACTGTCTGAATATCACACATCTTAGGCATAACTTGGAACAGATATTTTTCATCAAGTATTGATATGTTGAACTTTAAGTCCCTGCAGAATATGATGAAAAAACATTTAAAAATTAAAATATATTTTTAAATGGGCATAAAAAATTATATAATTCTTATGTTTACACCTAAGTCCAGAAATCTAACCATATACAACCTTGAAGCAGGACAGTCCCACATTCCTTTTCTTGTCTCCTTCCTTCATTCGCCACCCCTTCTTTTTGAACAATCATCTACCTGAGAGACAGAACAGCAGCAACTGGCATGTCATGACAAGCAGCCTGTACTCAGAAGACCACAATGACAGGCACTCCTATCATGAACCTACTATTACAAATCACCATCTTCAGTGCAGTTGCTTAGTTCACAGATATCAGTTAGGGTAACAATCTTTCCAATTAACTGCTAGATTCAAAAAACTTCTGGAGATTCTCAGGATCATTGCCTTGCCCGTTTTCTACATATAACTGTATGGCTTGTCACTGTCATGTTTCCTACCTCTTCTCCATTCCCTCTCTTAGTTAGTTCTCAAGTTCTTGCTTTCCTTTTACTTGTATTATACCTTTCTATTGGTATTTCTTCTTTTGAATTCTTATACTAGGGAAACTATATGACATTTACACATGTGTGTCTGGTTTATTTCATTTATGATTATATCTTCAAGTGGTAACCACATAAATATAAAGGCCTCGAGTTTATCATTCTTAATAGCTGAGTAATACATCATTGTGTAAAAATACCACATCTTTTTTATCCATTCCTCAGGTGATGGGCATCTTGGTTGTTTCCAAGATTTGGCTATCACAAATTGTGCTGCTATAAACATAGGCACACATATATCACTATGATA